TGTTAAATTTATTTTTTCTTTCAAAATGTAACTTTTACGACAGTGACGGCAACGGTGGCAATTTTATGGCGGAAATGTAGCTATGGCAGCATATTTTGGCCAAACTGTAGAATAGAGGGAACGTTAAATGTGAACAACGCTAAAAACAGAACTTCAATTTCAATTTGTTTTCACACTAATGCTGTTCGGTCTTTCACTTTTATGATTTACGCAGGAGAAGTACAAAGTTTAATGAAAAAAATGCTTGTATTAGACGGGAGAATCCCTCCACCTGCGTTCAGTCAGTGGAATAAACAGATCCCGTAAGAGCAGGTAAGATGACGCGATCCGTTGTTGACGAGAATGGAACGATAATGGTTTGGTTCGCAGGATGGTGTGACACAGTTTAGCAGTTCAAAAACAGTTCGTAATACGTTTCAGTAAATAAGCTATCATGTAGTATTGTGCAGCAAAGACTCACCTGTTGCAGACGTCAGTGTTTGCAAAGGAACAGTCTGTCCTTACTGATGATGGTGATACCGCCTCTTAAATACGCTGTCAGGCGTTTTCCTCATACTTTCAAATTCATGAGAGATTAACAAGTCACTATTTTGACCACTACCCCCGGCCCATAACGTAGACGTCTGACTAATGTATGCATCTCCACCTCTCCAGAACTGCCTGTAGCTAATATTGAACTTTCTGGGAAATGGATAGTCAAAGTGGAAGGTGTGTTTATTTGCTGCAGTACTTGTCTCTGTGCAGGTCTTCGTACATTGCGATTTTACTCGAGGAATTATCTATTTAGCTATTTGTATATAAATCACATATATACACATGCACATTTATTTAGCTAAACTAGGGACAATGCATAGATTCATGTTGTTTTTATACACAGATAGTTATACACTTTATAACCTAACCCTAAAAGGAACAACATCTGCAAACCTAACCCTAAAAGGAAAAAAAAATCTGCATTTATACCATATATATTATATACAATATATATATATTTTGGGACACTTTGTCAAGTTTTGCTCTCTCCTGGGTACAAATTTATGCTCAAAATGTGGAACACACACACACACATGCACACACACACACAAACAGGCTATATATAGTGATTTGGAAATCATGGAAATAAATGAAATCCATGGATATTTTTATAGTGAATAATATGCTCACAAAATTGGAAAGACACTTAGTTGTGGTCTGCAACTGACATGGCACAAATGTATTGGCACACAGAAATGTTATTACTATATATATTTTGTCAAAATGCATTGAAGAAGTATCTAAAATTAACTGAAACATAAAGTAGCATTGTAGCACTTGTTAAAGTAAGACTTATGCTCAGGATATGTGTGTTACTGTATGTGGTGTAATTTATCTGATTGTGTTTGTGTGTCATTTACAGTGTGACAGTTTCTCATAAAACACTCCCTTTTTTCAACATTTTCATAAAATCATCTGCAATCTAGCAGTCCAGGCAACATAAACTGAATTCAGTGTTCACATGCCCTGAAATCAGATATAATACATCATTCTTCTGAAGTACAAACCACATTCATTGACCCAAGCAATGAGAAAAACATACTGTACATACACCTGTCAGTTTGAAAAGACTAAAAACTAAAGTAGTGTAAGCTAATAGTAAACAGAAGATATATGCGATATGCACTAGTTTGACACAGTTTAACTCTGATATATCAGAAACAAATCCAAATCTCTTGATATATGAAAACTAGAAAAGGAGTCTTTTGTTAAATTCAAACAGCTGACAGTTACATATAACATATTTCGCATTCTCAAATGTGCATTTTCATATCAAGTATTAGTATTACAATCAACATTTGGCAAATTGCATAATTTCCATATGCTTATAGCTTCCAACAGATACACATTAAAGTGCTAGGTAGGTGATCTCTCTTATAGGGGAGTTTCCATGGGTCATATAAATAGCATTAAGTGAACATTTACAGTAAGCAGTCCTTATTTGTACAGCTTTTGTTGATGTTTCTCAACCCCAGAACTTGGGAACGGGCCAGTTTTGCCATCTAACTAATAGGTGTATACGAAACTACAGCACCAGCGTTGAAAATAAATGGGCACACTTGGAGTTTTCTCATGTAAAAGATCTCTGAGGTCGTCTGTGGGGATGACACACAGAGATGATTTTGCGTGAGACGCCAAGTGCTAGTTGGATGAAAAAACTCGGCCCCTTGATGCACCCTTCAGACTGAAGTTGAGAACGACTGCATTTAAAGAGGAAGAACTGTTGAGTTTGAAGGAGAGTTTGCAATTAACTGATGTGCAGTAAGCCACATCGTAAATCTAAAATTGAATACCTTTTCTGTGATATGTTACTGTATATTTTTCTTGTCCATAATCCTTTAGGGACAAATTTGCATGCATATTACATGCAAAGGGATGTTAGAATATAAAAGACAATGATATATGAAACAGCACAGATCATGTGCTTGATTGGCTGACATTTTGCTTTATAGATTATATAGACAAAGAATGAAAAACAATGAACAGAAAGCAAATAAAACAATAAAAAATGTAAAGAAGATAAATATCATATGTAAATGATGAATATAATTAATTTCATACGCACTACAACTAGTTAATTCTTTAAATAATGGCCGTAGAATCAGCCTTGCAACATGAAATGTTTTGTTCTTTGTTCTAAATTATACTGTACAATACTTAAACCACTTAATCAACATAAGAATAAGCACTAATATTAATAAGAAATATTTCTACATAATGATAAAGAATTTATACAGAAGAAGTACTGGTGGATGGAATGATAGTATACTAATTTCAGCATCAAGCTGTGATGGTGTATGCGCTTATGTGTTTATATGGTCTGTGTGTTCGCAGGGCTCCAGTGCATTGCAGTGTCATGCCATCCCTTGCAGTCCACCATCAAGTCCCAACAGGTCCCATTGGCTCTTCATAAAGGTGAAGTGGCTCAGTAGTTCTCGTCCATGATGGATCCATTGTGCAAAACCTAGAGGAGCGGTACTACAACGCTCCCCTCTAGTTCCATCTTGTTTGTCTCTAAAGAATGAGCATGTCTTTATGTTAAACTCTCCCTCTTTCTCTGCCTCACACCACCGTGCTGACAGACGGGTCGGACAAGTTGAGTTGGCCCGTAATGTCTGTGGGTGGGTATTGCTGTAGAAAGAGAGAGAAGGTAGAAAACACACAGGATAGAGAACATTAGTGTGACTGTTACCTTTCCTTTTCCCCAAAATCCCAGAACGGAATTTGCTTCTTTACCCCAAAGGCAGCAGGTAGCATGCAAATCCAAAACAAGTACTCAACCATTGAATGTTTCAGATGTCATTGCTCTAAATTTTGCCTTCAGGCCAGGACTCAGAAACATTTTAAAGGCTATGTTTTACAATTGAATGCAACACTTAAAAATTCTGTTACATCCAAGGAGGTTATAAAAATTTTAAATGGTGTGGGAGAAGTGTTCTTCCAGCTATCTTGCTGCCTTAAGTGGTATTTAGAATTATATTCAAAGAAGAGGAAGCAGGTTCTCTGCTGAGAGATGGTTTTAGGTGATAACCTTGATAACCTATGTGTTATTTATATAAGCATTATTGGGTCAAAAGTCAAAATGTATTTGGACACTTGCGACACACTTAAAAATATATGACTGTCATTGCATTATATAATGAAATATAAACCAACTGGCATCTGCAAACAAGTGATGTTAACCAATGACCTTTTTTTTCCAAGCTATATTTGCAGTTGCTTTTAACCCAGTTGGCTCAATGTGGTTTCTAGTGGATATATGATAGCAGATCCCCTCACGTTCACACTGGCGCACTAGCAGAGTAAACATAGTTGTAGTTCATAACATTAACTATAGACATTGGTTCCATTTTTGACTTTCAACCAGAAAGTATCCAGAAATACTTTTTTATCTTCATTTAGAACAGTATTAAAACCTAACAACCAAAGTATTTCTCCTAAAGTTTGTTAATGGACACAAATACCAGTTGCTTTCATATTTTGTTGTCTAATGCAATGACGTTACTACATTTTTAAACTTGGCTCAAATGTTCAAATACTTTCTGGGCCACTGCATATTTATATTTGTAATATATATTTAATTCTCATTCAGTTGCAGTTCCTGTTTCCTCATCTCAAGCTTAGACGTGTTAGAAGCGCAACAAGCTGTTTTCTCACATGGGCATCTGCAGTGCCGGGTTGGCAAAACACTCAATGACATGCAGGTGCCCAGTCAGAAGGCAATTAACACAACAAAACATTAATTTTTTTTGCTTTCAGTTTTTGTAAGCTATAAAATGTCTCTCAGTGAGGCTTGCCATGTTGCAACGGCAAGGACATTTTTATTAAAACAAAAGTATTTTGATCTGACAGGATTATTACATTATTATCATTTCAAGTTCTGTTCCTTGCTGTGGCAATCTGTGAAATTGAGGCACAGAGAGCTTTTTTTTTTTTTTTTTTTTGGTGAGCTGCTAATCAAGACAGATATATATACCTAAGGAATACATTTTCAAAAAGCAAAATACATATATTGATGGAAAAGCAGCAGCAACGAGTTTCATATTATTCTAAATTTTAAGAGTTTAGCAAAAACCAAGGACACATGCAATGTTTGGATGTTTGATTTCAAAATAATTTCAAAATAAAATTTCTTATAAACAATTTATACATATTAATTATGAATTTAATATTTACCATACTAATTATAGCATGTGTCCTCTTTTATAGCTTACTGTTTTTTTTTGTATTACTATGCCATTGCCAATAAATAAGCTTATACGCTCAATATATGATGCAACAACTCTAAAAGCCAAAGCTTAAGGCAAAAGTTCTCATTGTCAAGATCATCATCATCATATTGCAGAATGGATGTATTCAGCAATACTTCTGATGACACCGGGAGGCTTTTTTTTGTCTTCCTTGGTGTTGCATCAAGAATGCCCTTAGCACGCCTTAGAGAGCATGAGAGAGTTCTTGTTATGTTCACTTAGAAGGCTTTCTGTTGGCACTTCCAAATCAAGCCCACAGTGCCCCCTGGTGAGAGACAGTGAATCAGCAAAAGAGACAAAAAGTGTGTGTATCATCACTACCACAAAAAATGCAACTACTTCTACTAAGGCAACCAAAACAGTCTCTACTTCTACGACAGATATATTGCATGCTTGCAGAGGAAGAGAGAGGCTGTGTAGCATGTACATCATGTGGGGGACGTCGACAGTTATAAATCCATATACATCCACTTATATAGAAAGAGAGGCGACACTGATATCAAGAAATAAAAGGATGGTTAAACACTGGATGGCTACTATTGTTTTTCTGATTTTCACCTGGATTGTTGTGCCTTTTTTTCACCATTCACCACCCCAACCCACCTTCCCCATTTTCTTAAACATTTTAAAAGGAAAAAAAAGTAACTTAATTCCTGAATAAAATGTGAGAAAACGTAACATATAGCAAACAGTGCTGAAAATGGAGGGAAAAAACTAACAGTCATTTATAGGTTTTTAGGCCCTATTTAATAAGTTGTGGTGCCATAGCAAATCATATTAATGTTAATCAAAATCAACAGTTATGAAATTTGTAGAATTGATCTGTTTATGATATACTAAATACAAGTATATGTGTAGTATATATAGTTATAGAACTTTCTCCATATCTGGAAAGGTTTTACTATGGCAGCACAGTAATTTTATAATATATAATAATATTAATAATTATGTAATGATTAATGATATAATCATTTTGCTGTTAACGCTATATTCCAAGTCTTCCAAAGCCACACAATGTTGTAGATATTGTATATATGTTGTACATATGCCATTGATATCAAACGTCATTTGTTCTTGCATGTTTTATGACTTCTTTATAAGACTTTGAATATAGCACATAAATTACTACTTTTATGGTACTTTTATGATGTTTTTTAGCGCTTGAGAGCCCTTGGTCACTGTCTGCTATTACTGAATGGAGAAAAGCAGCATTCCGCTATCTCCTTTTGTGTTCCACGGCAGAAAGAAGATCATACAGATTTGGTACAACATGAGGGTGAGTAAATGATGACAGAATTTTCATTTTCAAATTCCCATTCCTTGAAATAAACTTTGTTAGGACCTTAAACAAAACAGTTGTACAAAAGAAAATCATTGTTAATTGATGATTCCAAAGTCTGAAAGGGAAGTTCCGCTGTTTAAAAAAAATGAGTTAGTCCGCATGGTATCGGTTGCTCTGATCAAACACCACAACACCAAAGCATGCCGTCGGGGAAACAAACATCGCAAGATTTGACTGTTCATATCAATAACATCAGGCAGGTTTGGGGACGAGAAACACACAAATACGCACAACACATCCCACCAAAAAGAGTCACACACGTCCACCCGCACTAACACACACTCCACATCCAGAGGTTGCAATAGGGAGAGAAGCAGCCCAGAAACATCAGGCATTGTGCAGCGCCCCCTCCTCTTGGAACAGCTCTTAGGTTAGAACCTTTTCCCTGATCACTGGGTCCTAAAACCTTTCAGCTTAACTCTTAAGGATGGCTGAGCTCTTAAGTCCTAACTGACAGATGGGGTCTGGGTGGTGACTCGATGACTGACTGACAGACACGTGGCCGTGGCCGAGATGCCAGGAATGGAGGAATAACCAGAGAGAAATGCGGCTCTCTTGGTTTCAGACATGACATGTCATTTAAGACAGAAGAAAGTAGATACAGAGAGAGGAGCAGAAGAATAGGACGAGAGAAAGACAGACGCAGAAAGAGGAAGAGAGACCGGCCGAGTAAAAAGAGATTCCATTCCTTAACCTCCTTACCGTGTCTTTGGAGGACCTACGTCTCTTGATGCTGGAGGCCAGGGTGGTACTGATGGACCTAAAAGAGGGTTTCTTTTTTGGGTCGCTGTCTGCTCTACCACTTTTCCTATCCTAAAATAAATATATGTAGAACAATTATTCATGTTCTCTGGCTGGTTTTCAACTGCCAAAACCACATCCCCTCGTTCCCCGTTGATAAGCTATCTTAAACCCAACGATCTATAAATATGAATGGAAGTCAGACTTGTTTGATTCAAAGAGACTAAGAATTGGTAGTAACAGATGCAACCGATTTGGTTGCATGAAGTGGCAGCACTTTCGAATTCCCAAATGATCTTCCTTGGCATCTGTTTTGTGCTGTTTCATAAATACTTCTTCTTAACACTTTGTGGTTTTAGGCACAAAAGAAGATTGGGACCTTTTTGCCCACTTCCCTCCCACTGTCCAACAAAGGTGCCCCACACGGCTACTCTCTGGCCTCTACAAAGGGTACGAAGGTATAGCACAAGACTGGGTGTGTTTGTGTAAGAAAAGGTCGAATTAAGGTATTCTTACATCCTGAGTCTCTACAGAGGAAGAGGGCTGCATTGGGGAGGAAAAAAGAAAAATAAATGAATATTTATCCACTTGCTTTAAAGATCATATGACTTTAAGATCCATAAGCAAAAGCAGAAGGCAGCAACATGGGTTTGCTGAGGAAATAATGACATCAAAGCCAAGCAGTCTGTAATATCACAAAACAAAACAACACTCTTATAGGGAAGTAGAGCAACCAATAAAATGCCAAAAGAGCACAGGATATGAAGTAATACTGATCAATACATGAATACTTATAAGAACCCTCTTTGAGCGTTATACTTTTTGTAGGGTATAACGGAAATCCACACCACACATACAGTAAGTAATGTACTCTAGGGTGTCAGGGAGTTGGGTTAAATGTGGTGTGAATTTCATTTAAATTCATGCAGAGGGCAGTAGGAGCAAGGGTGTGGATAAAGTAAGCAAAATGTGGACAAGCATTCAGTTGACTTTGGCTGATGGAAAACTCTCAGGATCATCTTCATATTTGTTGCGGTCCTTTAAAAGTTTCTGAACATCATTTGACCCCTGCTACATATGAAAAAGTCTACCACTTTGGGACTTACCACAATGTCTTTGCAATCTAAGAACAACTTTGCTAAACACACTCTTGTTTGTCCTGCATCAATTTTATGCTTTTAACAAAGAAAAAATATTAATAAGCCCTATTTGGCTGTGGTCAGAGCACTGTCTGTGCATTTAGCATGCTGGACCCACATTAGACCACCGGCACAGTGAGACACGTAAGTGGCTGCAAGCTTTGACATAGTATCTCATGAGAGCACATTCACGCTTCATTTAGTTTTGCATCATCCATTTTTCAGTGTTTCCATTTGTTTTCTCATTTTCCTGAAGGCAGTGCACTTCTGAATGGGCTCTGCTCCAAGAGACAACCATTAACCATTGTAATGTGGGCAGCTTGTTTTTGACATCTCTGTGCTTTTGAGATGACAACGGAACAGCCCAGTGGACAAAATTGCAAATTGGGCAGGTTATTCAGAAGTGCAGTGTGTGTGTGTTACACGCAGTTCCCTTTATGAAGGTGCAGTATACACAAGTGCAAATGGGGTGTTTGAATATGGACATTCATTTAGAAGTACTCACACAAAACATTTATATTTATACTCAAGATCGCAAAGATATCACCATCAAAAAAGTTGTGTAAATTTCTATACAGAAAGGAAGAGCTGACAAAAAAACATGAAATGCCACAGTGATTGATCCATACTAATGTTTTATATTTAAATCAACCGTTCAATTTGATCTGGCATAGGTCTTCTAGACTCCAAATTTAAAGTGTTTTTGTGTTTGCTTGACCTTTCTGCATATAAGCCTACATGCATATACATACAAAGACAACTATACATGTGAGGCAGATGACAGACATTGACAGTAAATTGACCTGCTCACAAAGACAAGCTACTGTGATCTTACCGTTCACTACTACTGCTGTTTATTCTATTGCAGCAGTTCTGACCTTTTGTGATTTTGAATAAAGAAGCAGCTTGAGGCTCTCACAGCCTCACTGTACTTCTACCCAGCTCCCACCCCACTGGCCCACCCCTCACCAAATATCACAGTCCCATTGGGAAGACCTCCCTGGACTTCTTACTAGAAAACATCGGTCTTAATGGACACACAGGTGAGCAAGAGTTTGTAGGAGACATTTCAGTTGGACTGTGTTAGACTATAGTATGGATGTGCTGGATAGGGCTTTTGAAATATTTACTTCTATAATATGTTTAATGTCATATTATTACTCCTGTTTTTAAATAATATTAGCAAAGACTCATCACAGTCTGAGGCTAGGACTAACATCTATATCTAATTACCAATTAGCGCTCTGTCCTGTTTTTTTTTTTACTAGCTTCCTGTTCTCTTTAGCATAGCTTGATGATGTATACTAGCAGTACCTAATCAAGATTACCTTTTTATATCGCAAACATTATTTTGGCAGCCTACATCATCTTCAGGTATTTTTATTTCATCTAACTGATACACTAAGTGGTTTGAAGCATTTAAGTGGTTCATGCCATGAAAGCAGCTTCATATTCTGATGAATAACTAAGCATATCAGCTATTTTAAATATACTGATTCGCGTAGCAAGGATGGCGTGGCAACTAGATGGATCAGCTTGTTTTACATACTAAAGATGGAGTCCCAGCCGCACCCACAGCTTGACTCCCTGAGCTCTCTTTATTGTCCTGTTGGAACAGACAAGAAGAAGGAGGCTGATTGAACCAGAGCAGCCTAGACAATTCCAGGCCCTTTTAGACGCCTAAGAACACACAATGGAGATCGTCCACCTTTGGTCACCACACCAAACAGTGCAACCAAAGATCTGTTTTTAGCAGAGGTATGAATGAAAAACTTGTGAACTAAAGCCCTAGTACAAAAAGTGGTTCTTATGTAAAAGTCTGTTGGGATGTCATTCCCTCATGTTCACCCTTCTTTTTACCTCTTGTGTTGTAGGAGAGAGCTACCTTACCTGTAGGTTCTTCCTCCAAACATTGACGGCCGCAAAGGCTAGCTGCATCTGCTTCCTGCGGGCGTCTTTATGGCGCTTATATGCAATCTCGATGAAAATGAGGAAGATCCCAGCTGCAATGCCTCCAGCAACTAGCATGAAGACACCTGTGAATGAGAGGGATGAATGAAACTGTCAGACGATTAATGCAGACACAGTATTCTTCGAATCAACCCACTGAGGAGCTGGAGGGGGTGGAGCCTCTGTGTGATGGAATCCTACATGTATTGCCCATATATGTGGGGCCTGCTGCTGAAAACCATGCAAAATGGATGGATGTTAAAGGTTAATGAGTTTGTTACAAATGTGAACACCAACACAGGTGAGCATAAAACGACAACTAAAAGCATTGGACAAAAAAAGGCCCCAATACCTTACCTACTGTACCTTTTTTGTCCAATCTCTTTTAGGTCTCTCTGTACCTGAAATGGCCCATACCTGCCATATTCTCAAAGGTGAGTGTGGCTGGGGCATTGCTCCTTGAGTCACACTCCTGGTATCTCACCCAGGTTTTATCTAGGTCCTCCATGAAGCCATTCTCATGGGAACTGCAAGGGGTGGTGGAGAGCAGGAAGAGAAGTTCAAAAGTTGTTTTTGGTAGAAAGTACCGATAAATCCCACAAAGTCACCACAACCACCAGCACATACACATAAACACGTATATGATCAAGCACACAGACAATAGAGCAGGGATGAAAGAGGGGAAATACACAGAGAGAGATGAGTAAGTGTCCAATGGTGAGATTTTATACAACATAAAACTATACAGAAGCGTACGATATGCTGCTTCGGCTGGGACAGACCTGAGAATAGCCAGGGACACATTCTGTTTCCAGGGGCTGTCCTTGCGCATGCCTATGCCAAAGCCCGAACGGAAAAACAGCTCTCCCGTGGTCACCAGGTCACACTTCTGCGAGGCTTCAAACTCCAGCACCGCAGAGTCCCAGATGAAAGCATGCAGCTTGCTGTTGGGGCAGGGGGAAGGGAGGAGGACGGGAAGGGTGGGGGGTTACGGTGCAACAATACAGTGAGAAACAACACACTCGTGGCACCCGACCCCACCCACCCCTCTTGTGCAACTTGTGTTACCAGAAAACTAGACTGCCACCTCATAGGTAAATGAAATCCAATGCCGGACGAGTGGAGCTTTGTCCCCCATTGGATTCCCTCAATGACGTTTTTGCTGAAACCTGAAAAAGGTGTTCTTTAGCTCAATGTTAATATATGTTATGTGTGGCACATAGCTGGGCCTCTCCTGTGTGGGGTTATGGACCAGGGTCGCAGGTTAGTGCAGTAAGTGCTGGCACTGATTTATATACCTGAGACCTGCAGGCCCAGGACCCTCAAGACTGACTGACTGATTGACTGACCATGAGGCCAGACCTGCTGGTGTCTACCCAGCAGGGACTCACTTGTCCCGAACAGCCTGGATGGCTTCAGCGGCGCTTTCGTAGTTGTGCTTCTCCATGTGGCGGTACATGGTGCTCAGCTCAACTTGTCGCCGGAAGTAAATATCCACCGAACTTTGCTTCACTGTGGCATAGATGAACTTGTCTGATGGGTTCCTTAGCTGGAAAAAAAAATGCAAACTCAGTATGCATTTTGAAAACCTTTACTTTGGTAGTTCAAGTGCTTAGAGAAGCATACCCTTGGGTCATTGATGCCGGTGATGCGCTCCTCAGGCCGGTCCAACACCAGGAAGGCAGCCAGGTTGGCAGTATAGGATGCTACTATAATCATAGCAAAGCCAGCCCACACCATTCCCAAGATTCTCGCTGAAAAACTACGTGGGGCACCTGGACAACATATGTTAAGTACAGTAGTAGTCAAACATATGTCAAGTAAAACTCATTTAATTTAATATGATCTTAAAAACAAAGTTTGACTTTCACATCACCTTCTCCAATTCCAGAGTTCAACAAGACGCCCCAGGAAAACCACATAGCTGAAGATAAGGTGAGGGCATCCTCCTCTTCTTCTTCACTGTTTACTTTAAACCTTCCAAATGGGCTGGGAAAACCAGGTCAAACAGTGAAAATGTTCAGAAAGAGAATAGGCAAAGAACCCATATAAGTAGTCTTCAAATAAATAAGTGCTCCAGTATCCCAAATCACTTAGCATTGACCAGATTGCAGAGACCATAGAGAGAACTATAACAGATGTGAAGCATGGCAAAGAGACAGAGGACAGACAGGAAAAGACAGATCGAGAGGGAAAAAAGAACAGGCTCACAGAGTACAGCCACCCAACCTCCCCCACCTCCATGGCGACAATGACAATGAAACATGTTCAGCGCTCTCATGTACCGTGGAGACATCCTGAAACAAAGGTGCTACATGATCCCAATGAGTGAAACAAACTACCTAAAAGAACAAACAACATGTGCATTCAGCCACCCCATGGACATACATAGAACAGGTAGCCACACTCTCAAACCAACGTCTTGTTGTACCTGAACCGGTCTAGTAGGTAAAGCATCACCGCCACCACATGCACCGATAGACCCACCAGTAGCCACAGTGTGCTCTGGAATGGCTGCATGAATGAGTCCAGTGTACTGCGAGGTATTTCCTAAAACACACATTGCATGATCACTAACATAAATTTAGCACATTTCAGTACCAGCTCTAGTAGGTACTAGCAATACTGTCATGACGCTACAGTAGCAAGTGGTGACTTTTTTTCAAAAAGGCTATACTGATGATCTGTAACTAAAGTACAAATAGAATGTGGTATTTTGAGTAGTGTAATCGTACCTTTTTAACAAGGATAGTCAGTCCCTGGTATTTGAAAGGCTTGGAGAATTCTATGTACTGGGCTCGTTCATTGTTGATCGTCAAGGGTGCAACGATCATATCTGCAAGGCCACCCAGGAGCTCGCCCATCATACCATTCCATTCCTTCTTGTTACTGTTATTTACCTATATCACCAAAAGATAAGTAGAAAGCAATCTTATGACAATCATCTTGCCTGTACTTGGCATAACATGAAAGTGAGCTTACCCTTTCTTGTGTTCCGAATTTCCCATCTGCCACCAGGTGTACTTCATAGGTGAAGTTCATGGTCATTGCCAGTTTAATCAGAAGGTCAACGCAAAATCCGTAGCAACACTGGGGAACAATTGGGCGTCCTGTAACCAAACCAGAAAAAGTGAAATTTCATTCCATCTGACAAAATTGAAAGGTCAATATTTAGAAAGCCCACCATTCTCAGTTCACTCACCCCAATGCTAATATCACTCACTCATTCGGAGATTGTGTTTCTCTTTTAGATGGTGTATGCTCTTAACTGCTAGACAGCATTGAGGTCTGATAAATTCCTTTTCTATAAATTCAACTTCTGCTCTGCTACTCAGCCAGTCATAGATTTTTTTGCTGATGATAATGTAATAAAATATTAACGAGCTATGTGAATTAATTGTCAATTCATCTATGGTACTGGCTGAATTGAAGTAGCCACAACTCTTGTGGTTGGAATGGATGTATTTTTCCATCCATTCTGATCTCAGACAGATGCAACAGCCAGATGGGAGCATCAACATCTAAAAGGAGTACAATCCTTCCATATTGACTTTCACACTTTACCTGTATATTATATAGGCTGCGACACCAGGCACATATACAGCTGTCAGCTGTCACTATATGCAAAGCGGAACGGCATGACGGAAGCCCAAGCGACTCACACACAAAAAACACATGCGTACATTTTGCATTTAGCAAAAATAGTCACACACAACATAAAACACATACCACAGACACACTTGCTACATTCATACATATATAAATACCTGCTGCATATATATGTATGTATGTATCTCCAGACGGCGGATGTAGAAAATCACAGTGACCTAAACGTCCCTGATGTGTTACCTGGGATGGTCTCATTTGGTCCAGTGCAGATCACCTTTTTAATTAAGACCCCATTAGGTGTGTACTCTTCCTTGCAGGTCCCGTCCAGCGTAGTTGGCTTCACATACACAAAGGGTTCCTGATGAATGGTCACTATCTGCAATAGATGGATGGGATTTTGTTCAGCTTTCCTATGTGGCATCAATTACTTTCAGGTCATTTCTGATTCATGACCCTAAATTATTGGCAAGTTTTGGATAGATGTAGTGAACCCTGTACCTTTAATCGAGTAGACATCTGGAATCCTCTCGGTCTTTCTGTTTCACCTCCAGGCCAAATAATCTTCCTCTGTTTATTCATCACCACCTGATGAAGCAGATAATTAACAGGCGTATAGTCATAATCATAATCTTTGTTCAATCCTCTAATCTAAAATAATTAGCATAGATTCCAAAAGTGCCATTACGGGGTTGGATTTGAATACAATTATGTGAATACTATGACTTAGTGTTGGCTTTAAAACTCTGTATTTTTGTCAGATTTATTTTTGTATGGCTCACAGGAACTAATGCAAGATTAAGGACCCATGTCTGTGAAAGAAAAGACTAGTACTTGTGTTCCATTGTAAATGCCGACTTGAATCAGTCTGCTCTTCTGGTAGTTGAGAATGCTGTAATGAGCGTATTTTCTGTCACCGTCATCATTGAACTCAACGCGTCCTGTTAGGCCCTCTGGGTACTTGGAAGACATCAGTACCCTGTGGAGCACAGCCAGTACTGACCTGTGAGTAACTTTTTGTATGTGAATGTGATGCATGAAAAATATGCATAGATGAAATATCATGTGTTGTGACAGTGCGTTAGGTCACAGTCTGTGGTTGTCAAAATCCATCAAAGAATGACACGGATGCACCCTCAAGCACGATGATCTTTAGTGGTACTGACCTTTTAAAAAGTGGCCCAGTCTTCCAGATGTTGGTATTGCCCACGCAGCCCCTTGGAGGTTCTGTGATGTTCTCTTTCTCAAAGAGCTCTTGGATGGACTGGGCTACGACAGCAACGGCATCACTGATGTGCGCCGATTCATTCTTGCCATTGATGAGCTGGAGGCCAATCAGCCCTATGTGTTGATGTTAAAAATTAAGCAGTGAGCTGTTCACCCTTGACATTTAGGAGCCCTTTCCAACACAAAAAAACCCATAGGGTCACCCTTTGAGCCAGCATAGGTAAATGACTCTCAAATCAGATGTCAAGTCATGTTTTGTCAGATTTTTCTACTGGTAGTACTAGTAGTCAATCGGAATGTAAAATGAATGTTTTGTTCTTCACGGGCATGCTACTTGAGGCATTTTGCCCAAAATGCAAGCTTTGACCCTTGAGGTTGGATTTACTGAACTAAGCCCACTAGCGCCACCTATGCCCAAACTGTGGTAAGTCCTGTCCAGTTGTGAGACACTAACACACACTGATTGATGAAATATATCAGATTTAAGTATACTTCACACATAAATCCAACTTCAACTGAGTTTTTTGTTGTTATTGGAGCAGGGTTTGAAAGATCCAGTTCTGTAAGAGATCTCCAAAAGATTACTGTGAAGACTCCACAAGTGTTATAAATGAGGACAAAGACAAGAAAAACACTGGCAGGGTAAAAGGTGAGCAAGTGTATTGGGAGCGACAATGACAATAGTGTGAACTTTAAAAACTTGTGAAGTGCCTGGGACATAAAAGGCCATTTATAGCTTACCAATACCAGAAACACGTCAAAGGGAGGGTTGAAAAAACACCCTTTTTAAATTCACAAAAGCCAGACTATTAATATAATAACATAATATGATAAAACCACACTCTATGAGTTAACACATTTTTAATAAAAAAAAAAACTACTTCATGACAATGACATTTTTATGGTAACTTCTTAATTAAACCTCTAGAGGTCAATGTTAAGTTCAGTATTGTAATTAAGCTTGCCAGTGAGCCAGAGAACGCAACCATTATTGTGTAATCTAAAGTGACTCGTTTAAAACCTTTAAACACATAAAGTGCTTAAATGTTTAAATGGTTAATTTATACATACACACTAACATCCACTACTCGCTTCATCGATAAAACCTCTAGTCTAGTTTATCAGAGAAACTGAGACAAATGGCTTCTTTTCCTCTGCCTGTCTCGGTTGTACTAAGGTGGGTTTACGTACCGTCAGGGGCCTCGCTCAAAGCTTTACCGGACATCTCACGCTCCCCGACCAGCCATACATAGCCTGAGCCTGTCATGTTGAGGAAGCGTGCTGTTTTGTACACGGCGGCTGCATCTTCCTCGCTAAAGGCAGACAGACAGGTTTATAACTGCTGACAGAAATACGAGAAGCTTACTGAAGTATGAAATTGTTTTGTAAACCCATTGCTTTGACTTTTCAGTATTATTTATTTCAAAGTGTTCTAAGGTCTGTCCTGCTGATAAAAGAAACTGGTTAGTGCTAGTTTTGTGCTGGTCGACCAGCATAGCAGGTACTGCAAAGGTTGTTGCTAATTCTTGCTAGTTAAGCTAATTATTTTCCAGGTTCAGAACAAGTTAAGCTCAATCAAAAGCATTTGTGACTTGTTGATTACAACAAAAAAGAAAACAAAATGGTTAGAGTGAATATAACCTGACACCGAAAAGGTAATTGTTTATTTTATTTTATTTTAAGAAAAGGAAGAACAAGTGGAACTTATTTTTGTGGTAATCAGCATTAAGCCACAAATGCTGTTGATTTAACCTTAATCTTATATTGAACCTAGAATATTCCTTTAAGAAACACAAGCAACCAAAACACAACATATGGTGGTCTATTCAGCAGGGTGAAATGGATAATAAATATATGGATGACTCATTCTGATTCATTTTACTTTTGCAGGTACAGTGAAGAGTGAAGTGCAGAGATTTTGGTGCGCTGCTGAGATAGCATCATGCAGTAAACCTCTTACCTGGCAGAGAGAATGATCACTCGGGCCTCCAGCTCTTTGGCCTCCAGAAGCAGGGCAGTTAAGTTAGTCTCTTGGTTGAATTGAAGCACTTTCTCGGCCTGAGATTGGGGTACACAATCAGTCAAAGAGGCTATTTACTTCCGTAACTGAACCATGCTGCCTCATTTAGCACTTTTGGTTGGTTTGGTTGTTTCTGTTTATTTTTTTTTTCTTTTCTAGGGCTGAAAAAGGGGGAAATTATAGAGTTCCAAGGAAACTGCTTCAAAATGAAAAATAAAAGTATAAAAAAGCTTGAAAAACACCCCAAAAAATTCGGCATTGTCGCATGCAAACTGAGGGTTATCAAGGCTTCAGAGAAGGACGTGCATGTTAGAGGTTTCGGGGAGTGAGACCGATGCAACCGGAAACTAAAACCAGGTGGAAAGGGGAGTGACAGGTGAGAGGAAGTCATTTCCCCAAAGAAAAAGAGTCGAGAAAAAAAGAGCAACGAGGGGATGCTGCAATAGGAAGTAGAATCTGAGTGTTGTGTCCCAAACTATCGGATCTCCACAGAGAATGGGCTTGCTTTTTTAAAATTCTGAATCATGCATCATCCTTTATTAAAAAGGAAAAAATGGTAATGAAAGAAGCGGAGCGCTTTTATTTTTTTCTGAAACGGAAATAATAATCGTTCAAAAGAAATCCATTCTTCATTTAAATCATAAAAAAAGGGAAAAGTAACGTCTCAATGTAACAAGAAACACGTGCTACCAAGAGAAGGGCATTTCTGGGTTGGCCGGTGATTGGTTGGGCTGGTTCTAGTAGCTACGTTTAGAGATTTTGGAGGGCGGCGTGCACTGACCATGCAAATATACCTTAGGTCCTCTCTTGTTGTCATAGGACAGTTGGTCTTGGTTTTCATAGTTCCTTTTTTTATTCTGATGAGTAATGTGCACAGAGAAAATATGCAGACACAGAAGAATATTATAAACAGTTGAAAATGGTGGGCAGTAAAGCAACCAACAAATTTTTACTTTTCTGCTCCAAATTTGAATCCCTGACACTGGGACTTGCAAAAAACATCATAGACCATCTGGCATAAAATTGCAGACCTAAACAAAGCTAGCAAAGCGTGACAAAATTACAAACTTCAGGAACCAAGTGGTGCTTTTCCATCAATCCAGATCGGCTACCTGCAGCGGCACATGAACGCTCTCTGAATTATTGATGTAACGTTACTTCAAATCCAATAAAAATGACAGACTACTGTGACGGGCTGCCAAGTTAACAAATCGCTCGATAATAATGCAGATATTGTTGAGTGCTGAAACACACTAAGAAGACCTTTTCTCCTGCACCATCTTGAGTTCTGCTGTATTTTTGAGGGCAGTGGCCTCGGGGGAAACCCTGGCTCAAACAGTGCCATTTTGCAGTGATATAAATAAACCTTCCTCTGCATAGACACACAACACTGCCCTAAAACCGCGATAGACTGGACGCGCACTCTCATGCGATTCTCGTTTCAGGCTGCTGAAATTATGCGTGACCTATATGCGTGTCGTGGCATTTGCTCATTATGGCACCTCAAAGGAAATTAAAAAGGTGAATACACACTGGCCTTTCCTGAGCACCTCTTAAACCGAACTCATGCTGCCGCCATGAACCCCCGCTGTGCATTCGCTGGAAATAGCTCATTATATCTGACACTCTTGTAAACTGATAGTAGAAGGAATATGAAAATGATCCTTGGCGCATAGTGCATAAAAATAGACTCCTGAGTCCAGTCTGCATTAGAATATAAAATAATGTGAAATTTCAGCACTGGTATTTAGACACGTAGCAGTCGCTGATCTTTCTTGTCTTATTTATATACATTTATAAATATGCATTATTTATATATCATGTTGGTCTTGCTTTCATTACTCTATAACTATTAAATATTAATATATATTTTCTCAGTCAGTGTGAACTGGTGTTGCTAAAACTATTTGATTAGCATGATCCAGTAACTCATGCTGTGTAAGTGACAAAAGCATAATGGCAGTCATTTCAGAACAAGTTATTACATTTTCAATAAAGATTACAAGAGTTACATATTCAATAAAGATTATGAGAACAAATGGGAAGAAAATTGCCAAAAAATACCCTGAAAGCAGGAGCTGCCATTTTCAAACATAAATTAGAAATGGTCAGACATAAGATAAAAGTACACTATCTGAAAAAAATGACCTTTTCACTGTCTCTGGGATCAAAGATACACCTTTATGCCTTTCCCCCTAAAAGGTATCAGGTATAAAGATGTTTCTTTTAGGGTACGGTCCTAGTGACAAAGTGCTGTACCACAATTTTTGGTCTTTTTTTTCTGAAAGTGTAGAGAGCCTGATGTTGTGAATTCTAAATCAAAGTTGCACCTCAGATAACAAAATAGAAAGCCTGATAGAAATGCATATTACACAAGCACCACAAAATGGCTGCCAGATTCAGGAGGCATAGTGCATAAAAGGACAAATAAAGCCTTCTTTACTTTCAGAAGCTTAAAAGTAAATAAAGAGTTTTGTGCAAATGTTTGCTATGTTTAAAAAAATCTGGAGTAGGCTAATGTTTTTTGGAAACACTGGGTGGTTTAAAAGAAATTGACTCCAGTGTGTATGACCCCTCTTGTGGTCACTAATTAAAGCTTGTCAGTATGATGTACAAAATGTACAAATCAAAAATGTGATTTTATTTTCAAAAAACCTTTCACATTGCAATAAATCAGAAACAGAGGTGTTTCACGCATGATAAATAGCAATGACTCATTTGTACTAATGACTCGGCTACAAAATGTGCTAAAAATCTAGGCAAGACAAGGCAAATTATTTATTTAGCACATCTGCTTTACATGGGCATAATAAAGAACTAGAGGTAAAGACATGCAAATAAAGTTTAAAGTCATTTAAGAACACAAAAGAAACACATTTAAAAAGAATAAGTTCCCATTCAAACTAGTTTTAAAAGTATATTTTAAAAACATCTTCCATATATATATATATATATATATATATATATATATTTATTTAATAGGTAGTACAATGCACAGAAGGCATTTAAAAATATTCTGTGGCAGAAAACACCTATTCACATGGTCACATGGTAAGTCACACATTCCACAGATCATTGTTTTGTACATATATACACATGCATAAATGTGATTTTATTACTAGATAAATTATGCATATATGTGTCTTACATACAGTATGCACCTTTTCTAAGTGTATTTTTTTTCTTTGGCCGTGTCTTATTTTCACAGGACTAGAGTAAGCTACGATAGCCACTGGTGATCCCTAAAAAAAAA